CGATGAAGATGTTCCTTTAATGGAATTATCCAAGCGTCTGAAGGCTCATAATGATCAAAATAATTAAAATGAAAAGAATAATGATACATCCAAACCAAAAAAATCGTCGAACAAAAAGACGAAACAGTTGTTGAAAATTATTGCCAGTTTCTTATAATATTATATTTTCTTGCGTAAATAATTAATTAATTAAGGTGATTTTAAAATGATTAAGAATATAAAAAAGGCCTTTGCATAAAGTTCTCATCAACTATACCTTTACTAAGTTGTCCCCAAAATTAGAAAGTGTTGGAGAAATTTCTATGGAAAGTTTGATTTATGAATTGCATAATTTGAGGCAATTTGAAGAAGACAAGGCCTGGCCAATCTGGAATTATATAATAATATTTATTGGCTCATCGCTTTTATTTTTTATTGGAATTGTATGTTGCTATAAACGCAACCCAAAATTTAAAAATTTATGTCATTGTTTTGGAATGAAAATCTGTGGAAATCGAACAGAGACCAGTGAAGAGAAACCCTTGGCTGTTCCTGAAAAAGGCGAGTTGAAAATTGATGGAGAAGAATTAGAATCTCTCTCGCCACATACTACAAACTCCTTGTCAACACCTGAAATTGGTACCATCAATCAGTCACCAAGGACGACAACAGTTCCTATCACTCTTTGTAACAGAATTCGGGAAGAACAGACACAGACCGCATTACAAGAGATGTTTAAGGCATCCTCGTAAGAACTGACAAGGAAAAAAAAATCACCAACAGTCTGTTTTTAATAACAATGCTCCTGTACACTGATGAGTTGTTATCACCGACCAGCGTATGTGGCTTATCTTAAATGTTATGCTATGTGAAAGAATAACTCATGAAGTAAAGACTTCGTGTGTATAATGATAAATAGCAGTTATTTGTGCCCGTGAAGTTCAACAGCTTATCTAGATATTGTGATTGTGTCATATATAGCGATATATATCAACATTTATTGATAGTGTTATCCATATTCAGTCCAGTAGAACACTGCAGCAGTCCAGCACGTCGAGGAAGCTTCGTGATATCTAAATGTGGAAGTGATTATTTAGTGTTAATTGTTACACTGTCATCTATTATCATTGACAATTAACATAGGTGGACCTTTCCACCTCGGCTGTTTACAAGAATTTCAACTGTGTGACCCAACACGCGGGAGCTGAGTTTTTATGACAGAAAATAAACCATAGAGATAAAACTCATTAGGTCACGTGGTCTATAATATTGTAGTGAACGAGTGGATAAATCAACACTGTTACTAAATTAAGAGTACTTGCTTCGTTGAGGTCTTGACATAAAGTGAAGTGTAAAACATAAACCGGAAGTTGATATTGTTGGTGTCACGTGGTTTACCACATTCTCCCCATCTTGTTGAGCCGAACATGCATTGATGTTAGGAGGCGAACATACAAATTAAATATATATATATATATATATATATATATATATATATATAAATAGAAATAATGTCAGTTAGTATACACAATTCTAAAATGTCGAGTGTTCCCAATTGTTCATAAAACAGTGTTGATACACACAAATGTTAAAAATGTTTGTTGTACACGATAAAATAGACTCAGGAATGGTCCAAGATAAAAGAAAAGTCATTAAATCCATAGTTTAAATAAACTCGGAAGTTTCTGATAAAACAAACAAGGAGGTCCCAAATAAAATAAAATCTATAGGCAGTTTCAGCTATCCAAATACCTTGACAATCCTGAGAGCTGCCAAAGCATGAACCCTCAGAAATGAGACGTAGACATACTCGTATATTTTAAACGTCTTGATTAAACTCGCCCATTGTAGACATTAAAAATAACAAAATTACGCATAACACGATTTAAAATTGTCCATCCAAGACCACTATCCAATCCATTCCATACTTCTGTCAGACTGGCTAAGATGCTACCCGCATGAGAAAATCTACACGAAGTCATCAAGTTTGGATGATTTGTGTACATTTCATCCAGAACGCGTAGTGGATTTCTGGTGAAACGTGGAAGTAGAGCGCCATCCAGAAGGTTCAAATCCAATCCGGAGGATGAATTCATTAGGTGAATGTCAGCTGGTGCAGGACACGCTGAACCAACAATCACAGAATCCTCAAGAAGAGTAGGTCCAACAGGAACTGAGAAAGATACATCTGTGGCTGCAGTTGATCCATTGGTATCAGAGAGTTGACCATCTACTACCCACGGGTCATCGTAACGATGTCTATTTCGTTTCAGCCACCAGGAAGTATCTGTGTCGACACGGTTATGAAGAATATTTTCACCTCCGCGCCTGTCTCTAATCAAATACAATGGTGAGTGGGACCGTACAACCAGAAAAGGTTCCTTCCATGGAAACTGATACCCTTGGCCTAGATCAGCAATGTAATCAAGGTCTCCCACAGCGAAGTAATGATAATAGAGACCAATGCCATTTGAATGTTTCTGGCGAAGTGTGTTAGCCATAAGGTACTGACAAACATGCCCATGAACCTCCACCAGAGCAGAAGCTACGAAACGCATCAACTCGTCAGCATTATGACCAGACAGTTTCTCAGTAGAAGTACCAAACAATATACCGATAGGCTGGAACATCATCATATAAGCGGTATAAAGCGATTGGGGAAGCTCTTGTAAAGTCTTTATTCTACCGAAATGTCCGTCTGTTGTTGAGTACTGACAGAAGTGAAGAACCTCCGACCTCAAGCATTCAGGGACAAGACAGTATTCTCTACCTGACTCCGCTTTCCATCGATAATATAGCACGCAGGTTAGAAACATTGCTGTTATTTTCTTCCACCAACGCAACCTCGATATGACGAACGGCAAATGGAACAACATAGACGTCATCGTTAAACCGTTCCAACTGAAAATGAAGTCGCAGGCAGAAATGACAACCTCCACGGGAAATATTCTCAATCTTGTTTCCAACATGGTAGCAGTCACATCGATCCATAATCTGCATGTTATATTTGGCGGCCATCTCCTCTAACTACCTTGCCATTTGACCTCCAATGCAAACAACCAGACAAGACTGTTATTATCGACTCGAAGATGACAAATCTCTCTGCAGAACTTGGCAATAGCAGGTAATTCCTTCCTGGTCGTCACCCCTTCTCCATTTCGAAATTGAGACAACCCATCATAGATTGTTTGATGAGAAGCTTCAGTGTCAGGGGTGAATATATACCCAGGAGGTAGGAAATCAACACAATGTACATTCGTTGTTGTCATCTCCAACTGATTGAAGTGTTCCTCATGTATGCCCGTCCATCCGTATGAGCACTTGCTGCGATACAACTCATATTGGGGAAAAGCAAGAGCTGCGAATGCCCGAACATGACCACGGTGGTAATTGATAGATCCAAGAAAGGGGATCAAATTATCCCTATTAAAAGGAACAGGCCATTTCGTGACAGCCTCGTGTTTACGTTTGGTGATACTTGATATTAATTTTATTCCTGGATCAACTTTGACAAAGTTATGTGTAGACATGGACGGACCTAATAATTAAGGAGCATCTGGATTGTGAACCCCCTTATCTACTTCAAATGCCTGGGATTTGGGAAATTGGTACAGGTGATTGGGTGATGACGTGTATTCGGGAATATCAGAGGGCGCTGGATTACCGAGTTTAAACTCAGATCTCAAGGCATTGGTCTGCCTGTTTATTGCATCCATGACTTGCTCAAATTTGGTATTAATGACATGCTCTAATGCGTTCAGTCGGGCATAAAAATACGAAGGATCCCTACTAACTCCCCCCTCGTCTTCTGGAAGTAGAAATGTAATTCTTCGTTCCTCCACCCAATTTTCCCATTCTAATGTTGGTAAACCGTCTGCCTCTTCAAGAGGTTCAAATTTTAGCTTACCGTCCCTCTCCCTTATTGATATTATTTGCATTGCATTTGGGTGATCAATGGTAGGCAATTTCACCAATTCTTTCACGGTGGCAGTCTGCATGTATATAACCATCTTTATTACAATGTTAGCTTTAGATTATTTGGTGTTGTGAATGAAAGGGGTCCTTAAATTTATAAGGTAAGCCTAGAATATTAGGTTATATACTGGTAGTTACAAATAGAGACTAGATCAAAATGGTGAACACTTTTAATGAAGCTGAAGCTGAATTAACCTTAGTGGACCAACAATAAAGTCAGCTATTAAGGTCAACTCAAAACAATAGGTTATGGAGTCAAGAGTTGTGAAGATGAACAGAACTTACTGGTCACGTGACTTCTCAGACTAGAAATATCGAATATTTATGGATGTCTGATGATTTATTCTGTTATGGCTAATCAAATTTAATTTAGATTCCTGTTGTAGATTTAACAAATAAAGAATCGAATTGCTTTTTACTACTCAGTTATAGTTTATACCCGATCCGAACATTCAGTAAACCAGTGAGTGATTATTCACACTTCATCCCCACTGATTGAGAACGCTATCGGCGTATAAACAAAGCAGACGACTTGAGGTGAGTAGCAATTCAACACCGATGACAAAGATAGTTTTTGTAGAAAATAAATTATCTCGAACTTCGATATAAATCAGAATTAAAGAAATGTATTACTAGTTTCCACTATGCTATACTGGATGTGAACATTCAGGCAATCAAAAAGCGTAAAAGCCCAATGATGTGTTGAACGCTATCGAACATATACAGCAGACGATGATGTTGGCGTAGTAATACAATTCTAAGGACGTAGCGATGTGCGCTCTCAATATATTCAGAATATCAATATATAATACCCTGTTTTATATTGCAAGCAAACAGTATAGTTTCTATATACGACAATTCTATAAAAATGAAAATAGAATGGGGATTAATGTCCAATTTTCTGCTCCTGTACTAGGCTAATGAAGACAGGCAAACGACATACAGCAAACTATTTCCTCTATCTAACACTATCTCTCGTAAACGCTGATAAACAATATATGTTGATCAGCAAAATATCACAGTAAATCATATATAAAACAATTTACCATGAATGACTTTATACAAAAAAACCTTGTACGGCGACGCCAAATGTAGTGAACGAGTGGATAAATCAACACTGTTACTAAATTAAGAGTACTTGCTTTGTTGAGGTCTTGACATAAAGTGAAGTGTAAAACATAAACCGGAAGTTGATAGTGTTGGTGTCACGTGGTTTACCACATTATGTGTAGTAGCAAACTGGTTATCAATAGTGAATAAATGTGTGTGGAACTGGAAGAAAAGTCAATCATGAACGCTTAAAAGTTCTATTATACATTCAAGTTAAAGAGAATTATCATAAGACCTTGATGTGCATGGAAGAACTTTTGGATAGCATTCGCATGCAATTTTTGATTTTGATTATGTGTTGTTGTTTGATGATTTTGTTTTATGATTTTATTGAATGGTAATCGTATAGTAATCCTAAATAGTTGCATGTTGCATTAATACTTATATAATTATATTGATGTTGACTTAGAAAAAAAAAAAAAATGAAAATTTTCAAGGAGTCTCATAACTTATAAGTAGCACAAATCCTAAAGCAGGGGAGGTAATGTAGTAATATGGAGGGAAAGAATTTGTGCTTTGAAACATCTATGTAAAATAATATTAGGATTTTGATTAATTATTCTCCATTGTCAATATATTAGTTATGGTATAAGTTAAATTCTGAAACGCAAATTAAATTGGCTATGAATATTGTGACAATAACCAGACATGGTGTCTAAAGACAAGAATGCAGAAATATGATGGCTAGAACAATAGCGTTATCTTTCATATTATTGATTCTAACTTCATAACCACAAATATGGAAAGTATATGCCGGTTATTTTGATACGTTAACTGAGCTATAGATTAATGAGCATGTTGGTCATTCACATTTTTCTTTGTTATAAAACATATATCATATTTGTTGACCAAATAAGGTAACAATCCCTGGCGATGTTCAGTTTGGGGTGCATGTCCTTTCCATATTTAGAACGTAGTTGTTATTAGTCTTTAGATTAACACCTCAAACAAAGGAATAGGCACCTATAAAATAGGGTGGGGAAATAGCATTCGACAGAGCTCACTCCGCCGGCCACACCAGTCATTTAGTTATTTGAGACTAGGAAGAATTGTAACACTTCCAGTTTGTAGAAATAAAGTATTTTAAGAAAAGAACCCGAACTGTAGTTGTAACTTCGTCACGGAAGAAAACACAGCGTGAAGATTGAATCTTGAAGATTGAACAACTGATAGTACTACATAAGTGGTTGTTCTAATGTATACTATTATATATAATAGTATAAAATATAAAAATAACACCGATTTGCTTCTACATGTTTCTTGCAACATTAAATATTATCAATGGCTTCCTGATGAATTTATATTAAATTCAACTTACCTTTAGGGTCGGAAACACAGTAACGTCCGTTACATGATGGACCTTTTGTAAAATAAAAACACAAAAACATAATATAATGATCAAACTATTTTACTGATGTGTGTGAAGTGCAGCGAAACATTATGTTCGTACTACTCGTTTTGCACGTAGGGTCAATTTTGCGGCTACAGAAGTAATTAAATACAAAAAAGGTAACGCCCTAAACAGCCCACATCCCAATCGTATCGCAACAAAACCTTAGATGTTGCGGATATATTACTTGAGGAAGATTCCGATGTCTTGTTTTTGACAGAAACGTGGCTCATGGAATCTGGAGATGATTCAAAAATTTTGGAGATTACAAAGGCTGGTTAAATCGAACTGGTGGGAGGTTTAGCGGTAATCCACAAATTGGGACTAAAACTTGAAATACGATTGTTTCGAATCACTTCATATTATAATCATTTCCTACTATGTGTCAGTTCATGTTATATGTATTTATCGTCCACCTGTGTCCAAAAAGAACAACTTCCCTCTTGCAAGCATTCTGGATGAGTTTGAAACTCTATTTCGGAATCAAAAGAAGGATAACACAGTATTCCTTGGTGACTTTAATTTTCATTATGAAGACACCACAAATTCAACTACACAGTAAGTTAGAAAACTTATTTAATCATTTAGTTTGATACAATATGTTTCCTACCCTACACATAGACTGGGTCATACCCTGGATTTCGTTATTTCTCCTGAAACATGTAACCTCATTAGCGATATATCAGTTTGTGATATTCAAATATGTGACCATTTCCTTGTTAGGATGGATAGGTGTATGTAGAAACCATCTAATGTGCGTATTGAACGAATCTGTCGTAATATTAAAGACATAAACAGATCGGTATTTACTGTATCATCAATAACAGGCTTTGAAATGGTGTGTTCCCAAGTATTTTCAAACAAGCCATTTTGCGACCACTACTAAAAAAAAAACCTTGGATAGAAACATACTGAAACAAGTGTAACCATTGGTGTGGTTGATCATCTGTGTAGATCGTGATACTTCCTGTTGCGACGTATTAGCGGTATTAGAAACATCAATACCACAGATGCCACAAAATCAATAGTTCAATCACCTATCCTATCAAAAATTGACTATTGTAACAGTTTACTAGCTGGTAGTACACAAGTCATACAGCACAAACTCCAACAAGTACAGAACACAGCTGTCAGGATCATATCCAGAACAAACAAGTCGTCACACATCACCCCTGTCTTGAAATCAATACATTGGTTTCAGATTCATGCACGTATATACTTCAAGATCTTATATTTCGGAACTACTAACTGCATATCAGTTTGAGATCCCATTATCTAAACATTTTGTGTATTCCATCATCAAAATTAAAACAGTTCGGGGATAGAAGCTTTAGTACTGCTGCACCAAAACTGTGGAACAATTTACCTCAAAATATTCGAGATAGCAAAACGCTTACAAGTTTTAAATCCCAATTAAAAACTCACTCGTTCAAACAATCTTATGTTAACTAAATGTTTGAACTGACATGTATATAGTTTATTGCTGTTAAAAGCGTTTTGAGCATGCTTATGGATGGATTTGTCGCTCAAGAAATGAACATTTATATAAGATAATGATGGACATGTAACAGTGGGACTTTACATGTAACCGTGTATAAATTGTCCCGGGGAGATAATGGTGGCCATTTGGCAGTGGGACTTTACATGTAACCCTGTATAAAATGTTCTGGGAGATAATGATGGCCATGTAACAGTGGGACTTTACATGAACCCTGTAAAAAATGTTATGTGGAGATAACCACCACTAATAATCTGAACTCTAATAATTTAAACTCTAATAAATCAGTTGTCTTAATTAAAGAAACCAATAAAATGGTCTGATTATGATAACCACCACTATTGTTCTAATTATTGAGTTTTCTAAATTATAGAAAACATTAAAATGTATATTTACTTACGGCAATATGGTTCTCCACATGCTGGGGCTGCAATTGAAAAAAATTAAAGAAATAACAGAATATTAATCTGACCCAAACTTTACGTCACCAAGGCAAAATAGAACGTTATTACATACAAAAATAGTTGGAATAAATAAAACAACATTATTATCATAAAAACTCGTTTATCGTCAACTATGATTGATTGAGCTTTCTGTAGTGAAATCAGGAGTGATATCAGTTCGGTTATTCCAAGGAGTGAGAGAGAAAGAGATAGAGAGAGAGATAGAGAGATCAATGACGGTAAAGACCGACCAATACCTTCAGTACCTCTGATAAACACTTACGTCACTATCTATCGGATTTAGATAATAAGGTGTTTCATTTAGTCAAGTGGGATGGTTTCGATTCTCCTCTTGTTTGTGACAAGGAGTAGGGTGGCTTGTCCAAACTCGTGGCTTTTCTCCGGGTCCTCTAGTTTTCACCTACTGTTAACGAACCCCACGCGCAAGTGAATTATCGAAATAATACTGATCTATGCGCTTGTCCCGAAATGGCGTTAATAATGGACGTGAAGCTGATTTTCTCCCTTTCTCTGATTTAGCACCAAAGTAACGTGAAATAAAAGTCTCACGAGACCGGCAGAAAGAAAGACTGATCATTTAAATAGTTCTTTGGCTTCCTTGGTACCTCGGGGGAGGGGAGGGGGAGTTTAACAAAAGCACCACTCTGGGCTACTACTACTCATTAAATCGATTAAGTTAGTAATTGCAGTCACATCTAAAACAGATGACTTTTAATCAAAGCAGTGGGTTGTTGGGTTGAATTACAAAATTGTATACTTACCAGAGCAGAAACCGCCGATGCATTGTGTACCATGGCAGTCATCGTAAGTTTTACACGGAACTGTAAATATTAATCATTATTTTACATCAACAAAGTAACATGTTGATACCAAAGATATTAGACAGTCCTGAACAAATCGACGCATTCAATGGTCAATTTGCCTATTGGCGAAACAATCGGTTCTCCCAAAGAGCGCCTTTAGCGCTCTTTGAATTGGACGCAATACGAAGCCAACGACGCTACGGTCCTACTATTCACACCATTATTGGTTGAAACAAGACTAAAGAAAGTGACCCGCCGTTCAGATTTCTAAATAGCGTTATGGTAAAGGCCATCAGTGGGGTTAGCATGCTGTTAACAAACCGTGTGGTGAGTAGCATGCTGTTAAAAAACGTGTGCTGGGTAACATGCTGTTAACAAACCGTGTGGTGGGTCAGTTCAGTGAGATTAGCATGTCGTTAAGAAACTGTCAGATTAGTGAGGGTAGCATAATGTGGTGGGTTAGATCAGTGAGATCAGAATGTTCTGAATTAAATACTTTCTCAGTGAAAATATATATATAACTTAACACCATGTTGTAATGATGCTAATGGAACTGTCTGAGCTCCTGTATTCATTTGGTACATATCTTGTTGCCATCTATCTGTAACATAATAAGAACTAGCATATTTACCGTTGCACGTGCCTGTTCCTGTGTCACAAGTACCATGTAGACAATTACCATAATAATCACACCGTACTGAAATAGAAACCATAGAACGATATGAAATCTAAGGTCAAGGATAAATTATATCCTATTGTGCATTTAAGGACAGTGCTCGCCTCTTGAGAGCCAATCATTATAATTAATTACGTCATATTTGGCCAATTAAATAAACGATAGCCGCGAAACCTAAGGTTAGAAAACCATCAGAGCTGTGGCCGATTT